CTGCGGCGGTGCCGTCTGGGTGAGCGCAGTGAAATGAGGTCGAGCACTGGTGCGTGCTAACCGGCTTGGCCGCATCACGCCTCTGACTGCTCCCTCAGTCTGCCACGTGGGGCACCTGCACGCTGCCTCGCCTGCCTTTGTGGGGAACGTGGCCATGAACACGTAACCAGAGCAGATGCAGGTGCCCGGAGGGGGATTCAGAGTGTCTCACGGGGGTTTTCATCTCCGGAGGAGGAAATGAAGATGTCCCCGAGTTGAGCCTCGGCCCCTGCAGGCGCCCTGCCTCTCCGTCACCCTCCCTAGACCTCCAGCTGAGCCACGCAGAGGGTAGAGCTGTGGTTAGTGTGCACGTCTCATTAGCATGTTTCTGAGGCTGGGCCTTTCGGAACACTGGTGCCCTCTGGTTGGCCCCCCTCCTGTGACCCTCACAGGTGATGGGAGCACTTCCTTCCAGCCAGCCTGGCCCGGGGCAGGGCCAGTGACTTTGTACTGCAGGTAGACATGCGTGTCGTTGAAGGAAAACCCAGGACATGGCAGGCCCGACTAAGGTGAACTGGAGGAGTGATTCATGGTCCTACAAAAGGCCTTGACTGTGACAGAGTCTTTGAAATAATGCATCAAAAATAGGAAAGTGGGCCCTAGCCAGTTTGGCTCACTGGATAGAACAGTGGCCTGGGGACTGAGGGGTCCCAGGTTTGATTCGGTCAAGGGCATGTACCTTGGTTGTGGGCACATCCCCAGTAGGGGGTGTGCAGGAGGCAGCTGGTCGATGCTTCTCTCTCACCGATGTTTCTGACTCTTTATCCCTCTCCTTTCTTCTCTGTAAAAAATCAATAAAATATATATTTGAAAAAAGAACACGGCATTCATGCAAATGCTGTTTTGCTGTGATGTGTGACATCGCATCACTGCCCGGTCAGGTCAGCCGGAGCCTCGGGAGACGGGAGGTGCACGGCAAGCTCCCCCGGGGCTTCCAGTAAGAGCACTGCCTCTGGCATCGGGGCTCCTGGTATTCTGCCCACAGCTGTGCGATGCCCCTGTTGCCTGGGTACAAGTGGAAAGCGAACTTGGTCTTTGGATTGCTTTGCAGCAGCGTTGGCCCGCCAGCTGAGAGCGGCCGTGGATGGTGGAGCCACATAAAGTCTGAGCTGAGCTTCTGTGTGACTGGTCCTTGGTCTCACGGTGGACAGAGGTCCTATCCTGTAGCCTCTCTCATTCGCTTGCCATTTAAAATACTGTTTCGACGGATTGGTTATGAATGGGCAGAGGGATGGTGGTCTTCCCTGGGTACTGCTGGCTACTCTGTATCCCTACCCCACCTTGTCACCTCTGGTTACGGGGACCCTCGGCACCATCCCACAGATGCCGGGCCAGCCCTGGGAATGCCAGTGCCATGCTGGGGGACCCTGCATCCTCCCTTGCCTGAACCCGGGGCAGTGCCCTCTCTGTCAGAGTCCTCTTTGGTCTCACAGCCCAGAATTCACTCTCCTGTGAAGTTCAGGACCTCTTGGGCGTTCGGCGTTGAAATCTTGGAAGAAAGAAGTTGTTGAGCAGGTTAAAAATGGCTTGGCGTGATGCTGAGCGTGGGGGTGGCACTCACGCGGTCGTTGGCCCTGCCGTGGCGGCGCGGATTGGTGGGCGGTGCCTGCAGTGCGCTCCAGGTGCAGCTGCGTCATGGGTTCTTGATTCTCACGTGGAGCTCGGTCTCCACCACACTGGCTCAGGGTTGTTGTGCAGACTGAAGGGAGGCGTGTGGCACGCTGTTCAGTTCAGGGATGGCAGTGGGCGAGTCTCCTTGTCTCCAAGCTGGAGGCCTGGGGTGGCCGGGCGGCTTTTCCGGGCTGGCTCCTCTCTCTGCAGGAGAGGAAGGCTGCCCTGCCGGGCAGGTGGGCAGTGGTCAGCCTCCTCACCACGTCCCAGGCGGGCTGGGACGAGGCCCCTTGTGTCCACCCGCCTGCTTCTCTGGTTTGGGATGAGAGCCTGTTTGCTGTGATTATTTTGGCATTAAAGTGGGATTCAATTCCCCTGTGTAACCTGGGACATGTTACTCAGGCTGGAAGTTGTAAATGGTCCTCGGGGGTGGGTGACGCTGTGTCGGCATCCCCTGTGCTCTAGGGGGTCTCGGGGCTGTGCAGCCCCCCAGCTCTGCCCTGCTCATGGGCCGGGCATCTTCCTCCCGCTGGCTGCTCCCAGCCCTCGGGAGTCCCCAGGGAGCCTGCTCTACTTGCTGCCCAGGGGAGCCAGTGTCTCCAGAGCCACCTGGGCCTCGCCTGCCCCAGGGAAGCTTGGAGCCCGTGAATCCTCCATCCTCCTGTTTTATTTTCCAGGGACTGTCACTGGAGCGGACACCCTGGAGTCTGGCTTGGTTTCTGTCGTGGTTTATTGTGAGAAAGCAGATGCTCATGCGGTTTGACCGGACTGTTTGCTCCCTCCCCGGTGCAGGGCCGTTGGACCTCCTGCCGTGACTCACGCTGGTCTCCTGGAATGTCCTCCTCTCCTTCCTGAGACCCTTCCTCCTTCGGGACTCGCGTGGGGGTGGGCCTGGGCCTTCCTGCCCGGCCCTCCTTCCTTCTCTGCCCTCATGTTTCCCTGTGTGGCCTTGTCGTAGGACCCTGTTCAGCTGTTTGGGTCTGTCCTTCACCAGGGTGAGCTCCGTAGGTGCTCACGTTGCATCTCTTTTGACGGAAGGAGCCTCCGTGTCTTGGCTCCGTGCTGCCCACTGGGGAGCCGGCCTGTATTTCTCTGGAATGTTTTCTGTCCTCGAGGTGGGGACCTGTACACTTCCTCCTGGTCCCAGAGGTGGGGCAGCGGCCGTCCTCACGGAGGCCAGCATCACGGGCCCTCAGATGGGCTGTACGTGGCTGTGCTGCACTTGGTGCCGGTGCCACGGGACTGCCCATCAGGCACAGTGAGTGCAGGCAAGGGGCCTCAGAGCTGGAGCCCAGGGCCCCGCCTCCCCTCCCTCTCGCGCAGGCCCGGGCTGCCGGAACCCCACCCTGCAGGGAAGAGGGCAGACGGTCAGGAGTGGGTTCCTGGAGCGAGACACAAAACCGACGTTGATGGAGTCCCTGCAGACACGTGGGCTGGCCATGAAGTTGTTTTCTTCAAATACAGTTCCTGATCTAGACCATGGAGATGCAATCCCCTACAGGGATGGGCCATGCGCTCAGGTACCTGTGAGCGTGTGTGAGCAACAGGAAACTGTGATACACAAATAGTTTGTATCTAAAATATTTTTATGGTTTAGAATAAAACCGTGTTACACGACTCTAACCTGACAGGTGCTGTGTTTCACTTAGAGTGTGAAGGACCAGGAGGGAGAGGCTGTGGGAGTCAGCTCAGGCTGTTGTGCTAAAGGGGACCACACATGGGGCTTAAACAATGGAAATGAGTTTCTTCACAGTCCTGGAGGCCAGCAGTCTGCGGGCTCATGCTGGCTGGGCCACAGGGGCTGCATGACGCTGATGGCCGGGCCCTGGCTGGACGTCCTCACCCAGCCGTGGCTCTCGGGCCACCGGTGCAGGTGTTAGAGGCTCTGCGGTGCAGGTGTTGGAGGGTAGCGCGCCTGGGGAAGCAGGGTGCCCGTCCGGCTGCTTTGGAGGTGGGGGCTGGACCCTTGGAGCGGGCAGCAGCTCCCGTGGCTGTGCCAGCTGTCGGGGGTTTTCTGGGCTGGCACAGCCCTTGGAATCAGTGGTAATAGCTTCCTCTGTTGAATATTGTCCAAAAGCAATTGTTCGCTGGCTTAAAAGCGTGTGCCATGTTGTCACGCGTGCTGTCTGAGAGGGCAGGCGGTCTGGCTCCTTGCTGAGATGTTGTAGTAACTTCTCATCTGTCAGGTGGGGAGGGGGGGGGATAGGGGGAAGGCAGGTGTTATGTTCCTTTTGCCACAAATCCCCGCACCAACCCCTCCCAGCACATCTTTGAATCCTCTTCGTGTCCTTCCCCTCTGAGATCAAAGCAGAGCTCTAAACGTGGGCAGACCTCTCGTGGTGTGACTTTCCCTTCTCCACGTCCCCTGCTGTCCCGGGGGGGGGTGGATGAAATTGGCTAAGTCTGTCCCCGTGGGACCGGCCCCCGGTTGGTGTCATTTTCACCCCATTCTCTGGTTCTGCTGAGACTGTGTTGGCACCTGGCTGCCATGAGGTTTCCCATCTCGAAGTGCTGGCTGAGCCCGGCACTGCACACCCTTTCTTCATTTTAGTAAGTCGTGGTTTTATTTTGAATAAGCCTCTTTCAACCTGCTAATATTAGTCTGAACTCCAACCTCCCCCAAATTCTTCTCACACAGAAGAAGCCCAGTGATTTTGAAAGTTAAATCAAAACAAAGCCACCTGGTGTGTGACAGATAAAACCGGACTGTGGTTCGGGAGCCTGCGGGACCCGCCGGCCGGCCGGCTTCCTCGTCTGCTCTGGAAGGCGTTGGGAAGTGCCTCGCTCGGCCTTACCGCCGTCCTGCTCGGGCCACAGGTGCTCGGGGGCTTGTGGCCACAGTCGTGAAGGGGACTGCCCGGCAGCTGCTGTCGGAACGGCGTGGGGTCTGAGAGCGGGCCCTTGTCACAGCCCCCAGAAGTTCACCCTTTGGGGAGTCTGAAACACACTTGGGCCGTAAGCTGCTTCACATCTACCGGGGTCATTCTTCCCTCCCCTGCGCTCTGTCCCTCTTGGCGGACACCAGCTCCGGGGGCCGGGCAGCGGCTCTCCTGCCCCGGACGGTGCTCCCTCCCAGCGACCAGTGAGGGATCACCTGTGACAGGAACGTGTGGTCTTCAGAGGGGCTCCCAGAGATGCCAGGATTCGCTCTGCTTTTCCAGACAGTCTTCTGGTTGCTTTATTTTTCTTCGAAAAAGACCCTTCGGTGTGCCTGCCCTTTGTGGAGGTGCACCTCCTGCTGGGGGCGGGAGGCCTCCCTTCGCCGGCCCCGGGGAAAAGGGCTGCTGGGACGGGGCTGGTTGAGGTCCGTGAAACTGAGAAAGTAAGCAGCTTTCCTTTTGTTGTTCCAGGACTTTCTGCATGTTTACCAGGAAGCAGAAGGCCACGCCCAGATGGTGGTCTTACGACTGCTGCGTTACATCCTCCGTCTGGTGTGGAGGATGCTGTGACGACGGGTTCCCGTGGAGCCGAGATGTGTGCAGACATTTCACTTGTTCAAGCGGACGAGCCCAGCGTCACGGCCCCCTGGCGCCATTGCTTTGCGGCCAGTGGCGGACCCAGAGCGGCCGGTGTGGCCTGACACCTGGAGCTGCGTGCGGACTTGACCTTATCGGTTCCTCGCCATGTGGCAGAGGCTCTAGTGTAGTGTTTGTTATGAATGTAAATGAGAGCGTATTTTCCTTTTAAAAATGTTACTAATCATGGTTCTTTGGAGCAGGAGTTTAGGCAAGAATGGTGTAAGAACAGGTTTTTTTAAAAAGGAAGTGGAAATTTTTAACCAACTTATAAATGAATTTTTACTAAAAATTTAAGAGCCTATTATGGAAACTCTCATGTAGAAACTGAGCCAGCTGATTTCTAAAGCTGCCTTAGTTTATTTTTACAGGCTACTGTACAGGACTTTGAAACATGAGAGGTGTGTATGATATGGCCCCTCCCTCCCTGCCGTTGCCTCTCTCGCCTTCTTTTAATCATGATTACCAAAAAATTCTTAGGAGATGCAACTGAGTCAAGGGGTAAAGGGTCTTTTGTCAGCCTGTGTTGGTATGCCACTGCCACTGTGTAAATATTGACTTACCTCCTTAAATGTAATTGCATCCGTGGCAAAAGTGCAGCTTGTCTGTGTGGCTCGTCTTCTCCTGTGTGGCTCCTCTCTCTGTCCTGGGTGCTCATGCACACGTTTGGTCCAGTGCATCTTCACGATTCAAGTGTAACTGGGTCAGAACGTGACTTGGAATCTGCCCGTGTTGCCCACAGCTCGGCCAGTCTTGGGGGAGCTCACTCAGCGGGAAGTGCTCGGTACTGGTTTCCACGTGGGTTGGTGGGCTGGCGTTGAAGTACAAGTGTCCTGAAGAGAGAGAGTGGTGACAGCACAGACACAGTATCAGGGCCCTTGGCGCTGTTGGCTTTTCCGGTTGCAGGCTTTCCCTCAGCACAGGGGGCACTCAGCATGAGGCCCCCGGGGGCTGGCAGGCCCACCTGCGGCTGAATTTGGCTGCAGGAGTCCAAGCTGGAGTCCTCGTGGGAGTTGGCACAGGCTGTGGTGGGCAGGGCTTTGGATGGCTGTTTCCTGGGCATCCTGGCTTTCCATCCACTTCTGAGTTGATCTGGCCTCTGATGCCCACCACTGGGTTCCCGCTCTTCTGTGCCCACTTTGAAATACAGGCTTCATTCGCTCTGAGCAGCGCCATGAAAACTCACGAGGCGCACGTCCGCAGCAGTCCCTTCTGACAGCTGCCACTGGTTCTTTTCTCTCGGACAGCTGGGCTTTGTCGGGCCTCCTCTGTGCATCCTCTGCTTCCTCCACCCCCACCTGGAAGGACTGCAGGGAGGGCACCCACGGGTGATCAGTCATTTCAAAGGCAGTTAAACAGCGGGGAGACCCGAGAGGGACCGGTTAGAGAGCAGGGAAGGAAGATGCCAATCATTCTGTGAACCCACAACTCTGACAGTTTTTGAAACCTCAGATCGTGAAACAGTTTTTTAAGAGAAATACATGATTTTTAAAATGAGTCAGCAGTGCCAACAATTGCATTTCCTTTTGGCCCACCAAGGGCCAGCGTTTTCACATTGTTAATTGCAAGGAGAAATTCATGTGTCTCTTCATAGTTTTATATAAATATATATGTATACATATATGTATATACGTGTGTATATATATTTTGCATATGCGCTTTCTTTAGGTAGAAATACTTGATCTCAGATACTTTTCCTTTTTTAAAATTTCTTCCCCCCCCCCCTCCCCAAATCCTTTCTTGGGGTCTTGAATATTTTTAAAACTGTTGAGACTGAGCTTGTGTTCTTGGTAGGTCTGGAACCCCCTTGCTGGGGCACCAAGGCCACACCGCTGGAGGTCGTGGTAAGGTTGTGGCCGTGGGCCTGCTGGACACACACACCAAAGATATATTTGGTTCTGGGCCCATCTGCTCCCAGGATCTCCGTACTCATGTGCCAGTCCCTCTGACTGGAGCACTTTACCCTGTTTCTGGGAGCGCAGGATGCAGCCCGGGCCGCGGGCTCGCTCGCTGCGTGCGCTCCTTTACCTCTGGCTGGGCAGCTGGCCGTGGCCACGCGTGTGAGGAAGTGATTCTTGGACGTGTAGAAGTATTAAGAACAGGATGTTGCACCAGGACATGAGAGGTGACTGGGTGTCTCTGTACTGTACGTATCTGTGTATCAAAATGCTTCCTGCAGAAAGTATACCTGCGATGGTATGCCTTTTACATTTTTTTCTCTGTTTTATTTCTTTGTAGAAAAAATAACTAGCTCCCTGTCTGAAAATTTATGAGATGCGGGTTTTGTGCCTTGACCACCTCTTCTCATGCAAGATTTGTAGAACGTGTCCTGTGACGATCACAGAAATGCAGTAAATGCCCCCGAATCTCTCCACAGCAGTTCTTACAGTTACCCGTAGTCCGGCCTCAAAATGAGTTTATGAAGAATTTGTTTTTAGTTGTGGAGAAACCAGGTAAAAATTCCTTCTGATTTAAAAAAAAATGTACTCAGTCGAACCTTCTCCTGTTTCCCCTTCTTAATATTGTACATATTTTGACTATTTATTAGGTTAGATCATATTTTACTTACCAACTGAGCCAAATGTCTGTGTGCAATTGTCTCCTTTACCTTTCTTGTAAAATTTTGTACAGCATAAATGAGCAAAAAAAAAAAAAATCACTGTTTTTTACTAAACTTTTTCAGAATTAAGGATTGTAAATATTGTAGATTCTTTTTCTGTGTAATGTGTCCTACTGGTTCATAGTGCTGTAACTTGTAGACATAATGTATATTTATTTTCTGCTTATTTAATGTCTTAATTTCTGTAAAGTGTTGACCTCTGACACGCCCTCCCCTCCTTCCCCCACCCCCCCACCATCCCATTATTTGCTTTAACTCTGAGGTGGCGACTGGTCAGCTCACTGCCGGACACATGGTCTTCCTAGGGTGGCTCTCCAGCTTCGGTTCCTGGTATATGGTCAAATGGGTTTACATGCTTGGTCTTTGCTGTCCTGTGATAAAGCTCATGTTTAGACACCAATGAGAGACCATAAATTGGGCAGGTTTCAAAATTCTTCGGGAAATACCCAGTGACTTTCTATTGGTTCCAAAACAGCTAGCTTCCCATGGAAGCAAATTCTTTTAGCTTCCAGGATTTGTCTTTTTTTTTAAAAAAAAAAGTGTTATCGGTAGTTGGGACAGATTGACGCATTGAAAATGTATACCCGACAACTCAGTATTCAGAGGGCAGGGGGCGGGTGGGAGAGGTTCCTGCTTCCAGACCAACCAGAGGACCTACCTGCTCGTGCCACTCACCCCCTGTTGGCAACCGGTGAGCTGCGCCACGTCCGCCTGCTGCGTGGCCTCCGGTGCTTCGAGGTGTGGGCTGAATTGTCCTCAGGAGCTAATTGTACAGGCCCCTGGCCCGGAACTTCGGTCCCTCATTGGGTCAGCCTGCTTCCTTAGGTTGATGTCCTGCTTCAGGAGAGGTTGGGGGCCCCATCAGGATGGGTATTAAGATGTGGGAGCTCTAGAGAGACTTTTCTCGTGGTTTGGTGTAGATGGTCTGTCATCCCTGCTGATTTAGCCTGGTGCCTGTGTGTGTTCCCTTTGCACATGCGTGTGTGCAGGGATGTGTTCACACATGAGGCTAAACCAGCTGGGGTAGCTTCTACTCCAAACAGTGCGGCGTGCAAGAGCATCCTCAGGCTCCCAGCGAAGTAACTTGACTACTTGTATTGGGCAGTTCCAGACTTCTGAAGCTCTCCGAGGCCTCTGTCCAGGTCCCGTGACCACTCGTCACTGTGTTGGAACTCATCAGGTACTCCTGTACAAGAGCACTGATCTGTGTGGATACTGATTCATCACTAATGTGTTCCTAGGACCCAGCATATTGTAGCATTTGTATTGCAATTTCCCTGGCTCACTTTGGTTTGCACTGATGAATTTTGACAGGGTAATTGCCACTTTATTGTGCAATACTGCTGTAAATAACTGCAGATTTTTTTTAAGAAACTCAATCTTTTTATGTTCTTACTGAATTTTATATAAATAAAACTTTTCAACTGGTTTTGGTAAACTGACTGATTCGTTTCACAAGACGGCGGTGGAACAGCTGGAATGATATGTGAATGTGTACACGCCCACACCCACCGTTTGCCAGCCACAGAGTGTATCACCTGCCTGTGGGTTTTGTGAGTTCTCGCTTGGAGACGATCCTGCGTATTATATTTGAAAGCAAGCCACTCTAGAGGTTTGAAGTGGCTGGCGAGACAATGCAGTGTCTACTCAGGTGTTCAGGTATGACTCAGCCACCTGGTAGGGTATTGGGAGCCAGCTCTGAACCATGTTAATGAGTGATGGTGGCAGAGACCCTGCCGTCTCACCCCTGCTCACAGCCGGAAGAAAACCCAAAAGCTGGAATCTGGGAGAAAGGTCTTGTCTGCACCTGCCCAGGCCCCAGAGAACGGCCAAAAAGGACCCCCTGAACTGACCATGCCGCCTATCAAGGGCCCATTGAGTGTCCGGCCTGTGCTGGGCATTGGGGGTGAGCTAGTTTGTGGATGCAGAAATTAAAGGCTGATTTGGGGCTATAACCTACAAAATCCTATAATTGCATAACTTGCCACTTGTAACTCTGAAGTGCTGGAAAGGTTAGAGACCGTGGCTAAGCTTTATTTTAAGTAATGCACGAATCTGGCCTTGTAATTAGGTATGTATGTGTGTATATGTGTACATTTATCATTTCAAATCAAGTTGTTCTGGCTCCCAGCCTACTTCCTCTCCAAGGCAGGAGAGTGAATTTTTCCAAACTCCTCTGCAGGCCGTGTGTGTGTGTGTGTGTGTGTGTGTGTGTGTGTGTGTGAGAGAGAGAGAGAGAGAGAGATAAGGGGTTTCTATTTTCAACTGGGTTTCCATTTTTCCTATTGAGAGTTAGCTCTATATATTCTGTGTAAAAAATCTCACATTGGAAATATTTCCCCTGCAGTCGGTTGCTTACCTTTTTTCTCCAACATGATGAAGATTTGCAAACATATAGGAAAGTTGCAGGAATTTTAGAGCACCACACACCATCGACGAGCCTCCCAGCCACATATCACCTGCCGTGTCACATATCACCTGCCCATCAATCCACCTACTTTGTGATGTATTTCAAAGTAAATTGAAGTCATTGGCAACCTTCCTCTAAATACATGTAATTTAGAGTTCGTTTTTCTTTTTTTTAGATGAAATTTACATTCAATAAAGCATCTGAATCTCAAGTGTGCATTTGCTCAGTTTTCACCAAGGGTGCAGCTATCACCCAACCCCGATTCCCAGCACTCCCAGGCTCCCTCCTACTCCTACCCCACACAGCCCCAGAGGCGGCCTCTTCTGATATTTTCCCGCCATAGGTTTGTTTCTATGAGTCACTTGAATGGGATCATGTGGTATGTGGTCTGTGTCTGGTTTCTTTCTTGTTCAGCATCATGTTTTTGAGAACCCCATTAAAATGACCAATAATTTCCTTTTTATTGCTGAATAGTATTCTCTGCACCATCATGAATGAGCACTGAGCTGTGCCACTTTGGGGCTATGATGAACACGGCTGCCCTGTGGAGTCTCATACGTGTCTTTGTGGACATGTTTTATTTCGCTGCGTGTCTTCTAACTGCTGTCGTGCACTTGATGTGGCTGTAGCCATTTTAGAAGTCAGTTTTATCAACCTTAGATTTTCATATTTTGTATTTTAAGAGCCCTTCCCCATGCCAAAGTTTTAAATATTTTCTTACATTTTATTCATGTAACCATACAGTCTTTTAATCTTTAATCCACCTGACAGTTATTTTTCTAACTGCTGCATAGTGTGACTCCATTTTCTTTGCACCATCTTTTTATTTAATCTGCTATCCTAATTACTATAGTTTTATGATATGTTTTTAACTTACCATCCCTATTTTTCAAGATTGCCACTGCCATTCTACTTTTTGTCTTTCATGTGAATTTTTGAATAGGTCTTGTTTCTTAAAGATGTTATGCCCAGATTTCAAGATCCCCAAGAAAACCACACCAGGGAGCCAGTCCGATGCAAAAGCAGAAGGTCCTTTATTGAGCTAGCTAACTCGACCCCGCCCTCCGTTCGACTCAGCGATCAGAAGCAGAGTGCCACCCATGAGAAAATCAGGGCTTTAATAGGGAGGTGGAGTGAGGGGAGGGGAGCTGACGGTGGGCCCTGCCGATTGGCCAGGCGCAAGTCGGGTCTCGTTACACAGGATATGGTCATCTCTATGGTGACTTCTCTTGATTGTCATTGGCCAGTTCAAAGAAGTCCTGGGTGTGGCCAGCAGCGGCTTGGCTTCCAGGAAGAAGCCTTGCTGAGCACATGGCCAAGGTAAGATGGAGGACATAGCCCTTACCCTAGGGCAAGGTGGAGGGCGTAGTCCTCGCCCTTTCAAAGATTGCTTAGGGGTCTTGTATGGGATGACAATGACTGTATATTAATTTACAAGAGTATCAGCTTTATAACAAGACTAGAGGCCCTATGCATGAAATTCGTGCAAGAGTAGGCCTTCGCAGCCCCGGCTGTCTAAGCCCTCACAGCCCCAGCTGCGTCCGGAAGATCGTCCAGAAGGACATCTGGATGATTATTCCCCTATTTGGCCAGTCGGTCGATTTGCATGTTATGCTTTTATTATAGACTAGCGGCCCGGTGCACAAAAATTTGTGCACTCGGGGGGGAAGGGGGGTCCCTCAGCCCGGCCTGTGCCCTCTCGCAGTCTGGGACCCCTCGGGAGATAACGACCTGCTGGCTTAGGCCTGCTCCCGGGTGGCAGAGGGCAGGCCCAATCCCTAGGTGCAGCCC